ACTTAGGAAACAACAGTAGCAGTATAACCAACTAAGACTTGGGAAACAACAGTCGCAGTATAACCAACTAAGGCTTGGGAAACAACAGTAGCAGTATAACCAACTAAGACTTGGGAAACAACAGTAGCAGTATAACCAACTAAGACTTAGGAAACAACAGTAGCAGTATAACCAACTAAGACTTAGGAAACAACAGTAGCAGTATAACCAACTAAGACTTAGGAAACAACAGTAGCAGTATAACCAACTAAGACTTAGGAGACTTGGGAAACAACAGTCGCAGAATAGCCAAAATAGCAATACCTTCCAAAGCAGTGACATTTATTTTATTTTTTTAAATCCTTTCCAGAGAAAAAAAATATTACATTTTTACTTGAGCTCAACCGTCACGCATGACTCTCGTTTCGGGACAATTGTTTTCAACTCAGTACGCTTATATTTGAAACGTGCTGATTGAGTAGTGAGAGGGCCGGCGATGAAAAGGAAGCAGGACACACCAGAAGCAAAAATATATATGAGAGATGGCGGATCAAAATATCGAAGGATATGTGTGTTTTTTGTTGTTGTTGTTGTTTTTTTTGCCGTCTAACAACAAAGTTTGTATTCCTGCGTTTTTTTGTTTTTTTTTCCATTTAATAGTGTTACCTAATTTAGAAACCGATGTAAACGCATTACACATCATAGAAGAGAATGGTTGCAGGGAGTGAATTCGTTTAAAAAACAAACACGACTGGAAAACCATATGCAAGGCTTCTAAAGCTAATTTGCGAATTCAACAGAGCGATTTTTTAATACAGCAATCAGGACCTCGTTATATCTAGTGACACTCTTAAAATTAAGACACATTTCGATTGGACAAGAAAAGTGAAGAATATGTTTTAGGTTTATGACTTCTAAAGTTTAAAAAAAAAAAAAATCAGATAATTTAAAGAACTAAAGGAAAAAAAGTAACACATAGTTAGGGGGCAGGGGTGAATTTTGTGCCGACTCCTTCGATGTTTTGTGGGCTAGTTCCGAAGTTTTCCCTTCCACGTTTTCTCTAGTCTTTTTTAAAGTTTTAAAATCCTTTATATTTACTTCGCCATTGCTTGTGGCTGGCTGGCTGACAGGGTGGCAAAAACTCCGGACGGCTCATTGGCCCGCTTCCCGTCAAGCTATCCAGCTGAAACTCGTCACATAAACTCGTTGCCGATGACAACACATTCTTTCAAATTTTCAGCCCCAACTCCCAAAAATCCGTTTTTCCTTTTTTTTTCAAGGAGAAGATAAAATGAAACTCCTGCTAACTGTGCTGAATGAGATTATGTTAACGAAATATCGCAAGTGCGTTTGGTGCGTAATCTATTATATTTGTGTTTTTTTTTCTGAAGCGGTGAAATTAGTCTGCTGTGTAAAACAGGGTGGGTCAGGGGCGTGAATAAATGTGCGTTTTCGGGTTTTGTGGGGGAAGGCGCTAATTGTGTTTCAAATAAAGTGCGCTATTTAAATGTATGTTTTGTCAAAATGTCCGCCCCAATCCCTAGTGCTCGATGTATTATTTTAAAAAGAATTCATACAAAAACACTTTGTTTTGAGGGATTGTTTAGTTATGGCTCAATTACAGCCTCACTCAAATTATGACTTTGTTGAAAGTCACATGAACAAGTTGGCTACAGAAAGTACCTTCAGAGGTTTATTGATTTATTTATTTTAATTTTACACGAGGCTCATCAAATAATGATTCACAATGAAATGAGAACACTTCACATTAATTTGGATAAATAGATGAATTGTATCCTATCTCATCTTATTAAACTTGAGTTCTTACTATTCGCTTGGTCAAGTATCCAACTCATATCCATAAGTTATTTGTAGAAGGGCAAATCTAACAGAATTGAATGCTTTATCGCCTCTTATGGTTTCAGAATCTTCACCGTCCTTTGTGGTCCCATGCGTGAGGGATACAATTGAAAAGAAAGAATTATTAATATGATTGACCAGAAAATGTTTATGTGGTTGAGCAAGCCGACCACTCCTCCTTTTTTTCCCCTCACCCCTTAAGTTACCACCACCTCTGTCGATGTCTGTGCGTGGAAAGCTTTCCAGCTTCTAGGACGTTTTTTTAAGGGACTCTAATGTTACTGTTGGTGATTCTGTCTTAAATTGGGTTAAGCTTACCAATTTGGAAAGTGAATCCATCAGTGAGTCTCAATCGCCAATTTTTTTTTACGACCCAAAGCAAGAGTTGCCCTTGATTTCAGGACGACGTCTAGGGAAATGAGGGACGTTTTTAAGCCATCGTTTAAACGTATTTTCAGCCTTCCAGCTGAGCTGTTCCGCTTGGGTGGTTAGGTAGTCTTGTAATATCTCCATCAAAACTGCCTTGTTCATCATGGAAGAGCTGTGTCGACGCTGATACGGCCAGATGGTTGAAAGACTTCTAAGGATTTTTTTTTCCTGCCGTGGTATGCCAAGAAGTTTGCGAGACGTAACAGGTGGGGAACGTTTAGCTGTCTTTCGTGTCTGGTGTACATGTAGTTAGACAAGTAGTTAGAGTTAGCGCTGCCCCTGGCGGGAAAGAAATTTGGCTGCCTCCTTCCACGCAAAAAAAAAACAACAAAAACAACAACAACAAAACAACCTGCAAAATACTGAAATGCGATTCCTCCAAATAAAGAAGAAAAAAAATTCACCCATGTTCGTCTGCCCCTTCCAGCTCCTTCCTACACCCCTGGTTGTGCACCATCACTATCAGTACGTTACTGGTGATGTTTGGTGTTTAAGAAATTGTCGTTTATATCGAGGGTGCCTGAAAGAGGTTTTCCAGGGCTAGCAGTTTCCGTTCTACAAAGGGTGACAAGATATATAAGGGACCGCGTTCAATGCGTGTAAGTAAATATATAGTGTAACAAGATTTGTTTGGACTTGGCAACAAAAAAAAAAACAACAACAACAACAACCCACGACAGTCAAACGGACGTTTCGGCCAGATACCTTCTTCATCAGGCAATACAATAATAAACAAAGATACATTTAATTTTTTAACAAATTAAAAACGTATGTTTCTGTGGATCTCAATAATGTCTTTGTAGATCAAATTTCAGAACAGGAAGCTAAAAGATTATCAATTTAATAGGATTGCAAATCTAACAATCAATACATTTGGCAAGGGTCCTTGCTGCTGTGTTGATACTTTCCTGATGATTAGTCCAATCGTTTCACGTATGTATATAAAGCGTAGATGTTATGAGTAGTTCTTCGTGTTTGAGAAGTCCCCGTAGGCCAATTCCATAGTTGTATTGAGGCGCGCACAAAATAACCACTTTAAGCCCGCTCAAGATTCAGGCCCGCTCAAAATAACCAATTCAGGCCCGCTCAAGATAACCATTTCAGGCCCGCTGAAGTTCCCTAACCGATTCAGACCCGGTGATGTTCCCGTTTGAACTGTTTATCATGTCGCGGTAGTCTAATTCTTCCCTCCTGGGTTAAGTCAAGGTCACCAGAAGTAAATGGTCAAGTTTGTGTCCTTTGTATTTTCATCAAGTTTCTGGTCAGACGTGTGCACTTCAGGGGTGGATCACGTTCATGGTCGGACCTGTTCACGTAATGCAGAGAACCAGGCGGGGGGGGGGGGGGGTGGGGGGGAAGGGGGGGCAAAGGGATAGCTGGCATGCGAGGTCTGGTGAATAGAGGAGGGTTGGCGGTGGTGGTGGTGGTAAATTCACCGTTTCAGTGAAGGAATCTGAATGACGGGAAGAATCGGTATCGTATTTCTTGCGGGGTTGTGCGCAAGAAACCGGTCACGACGAATGCACACCGACTGCAACTAATTGAGTCTGAAAGCAAAGGGACTGCACAAAGAGAACACGCACGATCTCGTCTGCTCGAGGTTTCCAACTAAGAGGTAGAGGCGCAGTAATTATGTCCCCTCGGTGTGGTTGGAGATTTAACCGATACCCGGACAATGGAGTGAATGGAAGGGGCGGGCGGTGTGGTGTGGTGTGTTAACGGTAGTTCATCAATGGAGCCGGGGGAGGTGGGGGGGGCCGCTAAGTTGGCTGGATATGATACACGGGATAGATGGTGAAGGGTTAGATAAGAGGAAATAAAATAATAAGGTACTGGAAGGGAAAAAAAGTGTATTGAATTGTTTAGTTTAGGAACGCGTGGTGAGGTGTTGGAGTGTTCGTGTAAGGTTCCCCGAGTTGTTGAGGTGAACACCAAATATTGAAACAATTGGGTAAGATGTTTCCTGAAAAGAAAAAGTAGGTGAAAATAGTTGTATAGGTTCTTGGTTGAAACATTCCATTGGAAAGGATCCAATAAGGAACGCTAGAAGTGATCTACGCAGATAAATCAAAGTTACGCTGGATAAATTATGCAAGTTTACAAATGGGTTTCATTAATTAGTCTAAAAGGGCAGGCTTTTTCTGCCATACAGTACTTTTGTATATTTTTATTTGCATGCTCGTGATATTTCTCTAACATTATTTCACTTTCGAAGATTTTTTTTTCTTCAGGTATTAAATTCAACTAAAAATTTTTGAGGTTTTAATTATCTTTTTTTATTTTTAAATTTTATTTAATTTAATTAGACAAGTGGTTTAAACAGTTATAAATCACCCTAACCATTTACGTCTTTGCTTGTGCTTTTCAGAGTAAGTCATCAAGTAGAACGTTGTCCTACCCCTGGAATGTCGGTTGAAAGTTGAGTGCTTTCTATAGAAACATAGAAAAGAAAACCTAACTTGTGAGGATATGAGAAGATGGCCACCACTGACCAACTGACAAGCATCTGAAAGGACCAATGCGCGGATTGCAATTCTATGCGAGTCCATTTCTTAAGGCGACAACGGCAAAATGACGTCTGACGTCTGTCGAAATGGCTGAAAGAGCGTCCCGTCCAAGAACCGGAAGCGCCAGAGAAAGCGGGCTCATCGAGAAAGCGTTGACCTACCTGACCATCACAGTCCCTAAAGGGAAGCGTGAAGACATGTGCAGGTTGCTGAAACCATTCACAAAGAGCGTGGCCTGTCTAGACGGGTACCTAAGGATCGAAGACATCGATTCGAAAGTTCTTCCTCCAAACGACTCGACGGACACCGTGCCACAATACACGGTACTCGGAGATGAGATGAGTTCGCCTGCTTTAGCCGTTATACTGTTTCTACCCGAGTTTGGCGTGGCGTGTTCTCAGAACATCAGACGGCATTTCCAGAAGTTTCCGTGGCGCCACCACCACACGATTCAGTTGCAGAAGACGGGGTCAGCCAGTGTCCTCGGGAAACACGAGTTTTACTTCCTGTCTCGCCAGCTTCCGTTGTGGAGCGTCTGCACGTCGCTCCACAGCATCAGCTACGTTCGCTTCAACTTATTCGTTCGCCGATTCAACGCCATGGTGGAGTTTTACAGACTTATAACAGGGGCTGAGATGGAGAGCCGGAAACCAGGGTTCAGCCTGTTTACCATCGGGACCATGAGACCATGCGGCAGCGCCTCACAACCCCAATCGTCGTGTGAGCTCGCGTTAAAATACTCGCCGCAAGTCTCACCCTACCCACTGACGGACGCATATTTGACCTTCCCAGTTCACGACCTTCATTCGCTGCTGACCATCCTCCCTTCTGACGCCCTCCCTCTTTCTCCGCGAGACTACCTCGTGCGCGACCCGGATGGGAACGTTGTGATTCTGCACGAAGTTCAAACAATAGAAACCACCGGTGTTGATGCTACACACGCGAAACTGACACGGCCTGCGGCAATCCACGCCCATTCCGCGGACAAGGCCAGTGTTCACAGCGACAGCATAGACTCGGGAAGGTATTCGGATTTCGACGTAGGCTCCAGCGAGCTGGACCAGTGCATGACTCGCCTGGCCGCCCTGTGTAAACTGGACGCGACCACAGCGCCTCCGCGGTTGTCAAAAGTCAACGAGGATCAGACGTTTTCACGGAACAGCGACAGGAATCACTGTCATCCTTATCCGGTAAAACTGGATATGAGCCGCGCTCAGAATCCTACTCGGGAATGGAGTCATGCCAAGAAGCCAGAACCTCACAGCGATTATAATCCCCAGAACACCATTTCATGTTTTACCACACACGAAGTGAATGACAAGGCATCGCTTCACTACCTCCCCAAAGATCACACACAACACAGCCAGTCCGACCTCATGCGCAATACACACTGTTCGCTGCCTGTAAATAATGCAAGTAATTTTAAGTCTAGATCTGTCATAGGTGGCCAGGTAATTCCTCAACATTGTAATGAGCCGAAGCATGACTGCGACTGCTACACCAGTTTTTCAGACAATGTGACGGGAACAAACCTCGTTGATACTCACTGTAAACATTTCGAACTTTTCCCCGAAGTCCCCAACATTCATATATCTAAGAGGTTCCCTCAAAGCGCCGACCAGGCATCTACCGCCAAATGCCGGGACGTTTACCCATCCGCGAAAGATAACTCCGATCAGCTTTACCGGTCCAGAATGAACCACCCTGACAGTTTGACTTCATCGTCAACCTCAGATTTAGAAGAACCTTATCGAACGAGAAATCGTCAGACTGCCGATGTCAACCCGCCGTATAAGGTTACATTTGTGTGACACGTTAATATGTATATTTGGGCGTGTTACCAAAGTTTTCTCCTTCGAGCACCGCTGGGAGAGCTCCTACTTGACGGTGTGAATGTGACTTCTTGACAAGTTAATTAAAATTTGTTGTTCTCGATCTCGCTGAGACGAAGACACGGCCGCAACATGATATCAGCTATTTCATGTAAGGGAGCAACGTCGGTGTCCTCAGCCATCTTGCTGTGCAGGCCATGAGAATTCTCGTGATTTTCTTGGAAATAAAATATCTTTGGCTCCACTTTGAACAATGTTTCTGCATTTATAGAGTTAAGAACTTATTCTATTTGTATTTTGATCTCCAATCCAGCTCACCGAAGCATTCGGATTTGGCTCGGGGCAGCCACAAAGATGTTTTTATTGAACGACGAGGAACCCCTTGTAAGAAAGACTTAATGACACGAGAGGCCAGGTTATGCGAGGCCTGGATGTCGTTCACCTGCTGTCGCTGGGGATTAAATATGCACAGACCGGAACACGTCTGGGCTGTCTAGGAGCTGCAGTGGTACCACAGACCATGACGGATTGGAAGAATTTCATGCTTAACGTGATTTTAATGCTTGTCTAATATAAAATGGAAATAGGTACACTAAAATTGAATTATATCTGTAAAAAAATTCAAATTGATTTTCGATTTAATCCTTTTGTGAACCCTCCCCCCTCTCCCCCCCCCCCCACGCCCACCACTTTTTCTTTAAAAAAAAATTAAATTCTTAAAAAATTGCAGTTTAACAGTCTTAAATTTCAAAGATGATGTCATGTTCGTTGTTGCTTTTGAGTGTCTGGTCAGGGTTGAGGGTGTCAGTTAATGACCCATCTTATGCCCTGTACCGTACCGTAAGTCGGGTATCAACGAAACAATTTCTAGGCATTGATTAAACTAGTGATTTAGATCAGTATCCCTAAAAGATATCACCTAAATTGTATTGTAGTCCAAAGTTTTAAGACACTCAAGTTGTTGAGAGAATTGTGTTTGAGTTGATTGTATGCAAAGAGGATTTAAAAAAAAAAAAATCAAAATAACACCAGTCAAGTTATTATAATATATTTGCATCCCCTCTCTCATTTTTCCATAACAAAATTACGCCTTAATATCTCCATACCGTGCACCATACCTCTACTCTCAAACCCCCTTTTACCAACATTTTATAGACCATCAACTTTCGTAAAACACTGGACAAATCATTCGATTTCTCTTACATTGCACACTACTTGCTGTATGGAGTAAGTCAAAATGTAAGCAGGCCCAGGTGATGATGGCCTTTGGTCGGAGACATCGCGAGAGCCCTGCAACCCCTGCGGCCGCAACCATGGCCCGAAGCTTGTGGCCTGGAAATAATTAAATAAAATCTGCTGCATGTTTCTTCTTCGTCGCCTCATTTAATTCCCAGTGGAGCATGGGGTGATACAAAATAGACGTGCCTGCTGTTCTGTAGTTTGAAACAGACCAGTCTTTAAACGCAAGGGGCATGCAGATGAAAAGTGCCCCAGGGGCTGCAAAAGTCACGTGACGGCCTTTGTGTTGGGGGACCAGTAATCCAACGAAACCAATCTCTATCTGTGATGTTTGCTTTTTTTTTTTTTTTTTCTTCCTTGTTTTTTTTTACCAATTTGATAACATTTAATAGCAATCCCTTTGTATTATTGTATTTGAATTTACATTGCCATGTATCTATTTTTTTGTTTTTTTTTTTTTTTTTTTTTTCCTTGTTTTTTTTTTACCAATGTGATAACATTTAATAGCAATCCCTTTGTATTATTGTATGTGAATTTACATTGCCATGTATCTATTTTTTTCATATGTAACTCAGCGCATTGCTTTACTCAATGTAACATATCAACCATAGAGTAGCTTTTCTGTGGGACGTGTAGTGATCATTATCTATTTAAGTCTACACGGTTAGGACCGGGACATTGCTAATCTTATTCCTATAAAGGGTTGCCTCTGTTGTCAAAATAAATCTATACAATAAAAGCACCTAGAACATTGACAACTGAACGAGTTGATTTCAATTTTATCAAATTTATTTTACCTTTTCACTCTAACCAATCCATTTAGCTCTCCGTCCACCTAGCTGTCATTCCATCTCACCATTTGTGCATGTCGCTATCTATCTGTCATTTTCTATCCATCTGACGATCTACTACTTGGTTTACTTCTGTTCACTCATCCATCTTCCTACCTACTAGTCTCTTATCCACCTGGCTGGATAATCTTCCATACGCCTGTTTTAAGATAAGATTCAGATAAGATATTATAAGATACGAGGATAAGATAAAACATGATAACATAAGATATAATAACATAAGATAAGATAGGATATGGCAAATGATAAGATAAGAGGTAATGATAAGATAAGATGTTTAGATACGATGATGAGATAAGAAACGATAGTAAGTAAGATAAAATGATAAGATAAGATCGAAATAAAGGGAAGTTCTGTTTATTTTAATTAAATTGTACACATTCATTTTCAGCACATAAATAAATACACATTCATTTTCAGCACGTAAATAAATACACATTCATTTTCCGCAAGTAAGTAAGTACACATTCATTTTCAGCACGTAAATAAATACACATTCATTTTAAGCACCTAAGTAAATACTCATTCCTTTTCAGCACGTAAACAAATACACATTCAAACTAAGACAACAGTTTACAATTAGAATCATTGAAACAATTTACTTCCTGTTGTACCACTCTACGAGAATACACCTCTGAGACACTTTCTTAAAAATTGCTATCCCCCATCTTTCCTATCCGACCCACAAGGTTGGGGCTGGAGTCACGATGTTAGTTGCACCCCAATTCCCCTCCCCCCCCCCCCCCCCCCCCCCGCTTTCGTTTCTGGCCCATTACCTTCAAAGAAACACCCCATCACATGAGAGGTGTCGCCATAAAAGAGGGGGGTGAGAGGGGGGGATACACTTACTGTCTCACAATGTGATTACCTCCCTGGAGTCACTGTGCACGACCTGTGGAGATGCTAATCTCTCTGGCTCAATCACAGGCACTATAATAGACCCTCTCTGGTCGTAATGGGCCCCTCTCGTGTCCTTTAATCACTTTCGTGGGTCACTCAAACTTTGTAAAGGACACTAGAACGAAATGACCCAAGAATACAGCAAATGATAGAATAGCCCCTCCCTCCGCCAAAATAGTAAATACATAACACTCAACACCCCCCACCCCCAACCAATCTTTTTAAAAAATAGAAGAAACAAGAAATTTTAATTTTTAAAAAAATGAACACGAAAATAAATAGGAATTTGTGAAAGAGAACAAATGTTAAATCAATAGAGATTTCGAGAGAGTGAGAGAGTTAGAGAGAGAGACAGAGAGAGAGGGAGATGGGGGAGAGAATGTGAGAGAATGTGAGAGAAAGAGAGATAGAGAGAGCGAGAATGAGATTGAGAGATAGAGAGAGAAGAGAGAGAAATTTAGAGAGATAGAGAGTGAGAAAGAGAGTGAGAAAGAGAGTGGGAGAGATGGAGCGATAGAGAGAAAGTTAGAGAGAGGGAGAGAGATAGAGAGAGCTAGAGAGAGAGAGAGAGAGAGAGAGCGATATAGAAAAAGAAGGGGAAGAGGGAAAGAAAGCACTAGAGAGAGAGAGAGAGAGAGAGAGAGAGGAGGACAGACATGTGTGCGATGATTCTATGCAAACCTCATACTCTCGAAATCCAAAAATCCAGCAAATAATACACGATCTGTTTGAGTGGTATAAATTAAAAGGTGGGCTGTCAAGGCATGGTGTTGATTCATTCAAATTGGTATATACTTGTAATGTCATTTTTACTTTGCAAAATCAACTAATGCTAGAAATTAGATTTTTCTACACTCTCTCTCTTCCTCCCCCCCCCCCAAAAAAAAAAAAAAAAAAAAAAAAAAACCTTAACAAAAAATATAAAAAAAAAAAAATCTCTTCAAATCTCAGCACGCCGCCCAGTTCACAATGCAAATAGAATACCCAGTTGTCCACCCCAAGTTTATGATTTTAACTACACAATACATGTCCAGAAAAAGCCCAATTATCAAGATTGTATTTTCTAATCACGCGCTATCAAGTGGTGGGGGGGGGAGGCGCCAAACAATGATGAAACTACAATAACTTTACCACAATGGTGGACCTAAGACACTTCTCCGAAGCTGGATAAAACTTAACATTCACGAACAAAATGTTGTCATCAATTTCTGTTTTAACATCAATTTCATCAAAGGCTCGGTATTTAAAGTCATGGCCTCCTTCGGCTAATTTAGGATTTATGGAACTGCTTGTATAGACTTCTTTCTAAAAAAAAAGAAATGTCTGATAACATTTTAATTAAATGGCCTTATCTAATTTTACAAGCCCCAAATGCCATGTTGTTAACATTTTTCAAATGTGTTCTTTATTCAGTTTATCAACCGAGTCTGTCGATACATAATGGGGGCTAGCTGTCCCGAGAAAAAATTACAACTTAAAAGAATAACAAACCAAACAAAAATAAACACAAAACATAATGTCTGATAACATTTTAATTAAATGGCCTTATCTAATTTTACAAGCCCCAAATGCCATGTTGTTAACATTTTTCAAATGTGTTCTTTATTCAGTTTATCAACCGAGTCTGTCGATACATAATGGGGGCTAGCTGTCCTGAGAAAAAATTACAACTTAAAAGAATAACAAACCAAACAAAAATAAACACACAAAAAAAAAAACCAACAAAAAAAAGTTCCGCGACAAAAATGACACAACAGTAAACAGCCTCACTTAAGCGAGACTTCGGTGGAGATTTCAAAATATAACAAAAAATATCCAATATATATATAAGAATCTTCCTCAAGGTGACATACACTCTCAGGGGTACATACACTCTCATGGGGACATACGCTCTCAGGGGGACATACACTCTCAGGTTGACATACACTCTCAGGGGGACATACACTCTCAGGGGGACATACACTCTCAAGGGAACATACACTCTCAACCATAACCACCCCAGGCGATCCCGCCCAAAGAAAAAACACGGGCGGAGACACGCTTGGTCACGGAAACACGGGTCCGGACACAAAAGGGCAGACACATCGGCCAGGACACACACGGGCCCGGACACACATGGGTCAGGACGACACAGACGGGCCAGGACACACATGGGCCCGGACACACACGGGACAGGACACGCATGGGCCAGGACACACATGGGTCAGAACACATGGCCCAGGACACACAGGCGGAGACACGCTTGGTCACGG